AGAAACTAAAATTTCAAAACAATCAAAAGAAATCATTGGTACGAATCCCATCATTTAGTGCAGTGGACCACAAAAAGTGTGTGAGAATAACATCGTTTCCGATCCTCCAAACCTCTCCTTCATGATATAGGCACTTACTGAATTATTACAATTCCTTGAAAGGATGATCTTAAATATCACCTCCTCCAGGACATCTTCCCTGAGGTTAGGTTCCCCTCCAATGTGCTCCCCTGGAGCCTCATGCTCATTCCAGTCACAACATGTCCCACACTGAATAGTCTTATCTTTTTATTAATTGACTTTCTCCACTAAACTGCAATGTCCTTGGGGCCAAAACCTGAGTCTTAGTCATACTGTACTTCCAACCCTTACCAGAGTACCTTGTTCATAATGAGCGTTTAATAAATACGTGTGAAATGAATGAACCTCATATTCATCTTAGTACCTTCCCACAGTTTTTATATAGTGCTTTGAACACTGTAGGGATCAGATAAAAGTTTACTGAATAAATAAATTTGTGGACAGATTCATTTCTGCATATGATCAGTTACAATGATACAAGCCTTGAACCAAACCAACCACTTGGATGAAAAGAGCGATGTGGCGCGGCATCTCAGGGGCCCTCCATCGTTATTCCCCTTCTCAGCTATGCCCTTGGCGGGCCTTCGACCAGTCCCAGCCCTGCAGCCTGCTCATCCTATACTATATAAAATAATTGATGAGGAAGAAATTACCTAGCAAAACACCAACTGAAAGATGAATTACAATTTTGCCTTAATTCAAAGCCTGGGGTTTTCCTATTTCCTCTTTTGGGTTGATGGAAAGGAATCAGTTACTCAGAGTATGATATAAACTGTGGTCATTTATAGTTCCAAAAATCTACAACAAGATGTAGTTTGCTAATCAGAACTTTAATAAAATAAAAATAATTTTAATAAATTCAATTAATAAATAAGGATAAGTTAAAGCATGGTCAGTAGCTGCTTCTAAACAGAAGACAGTGAGCCCATGGCTTACACTGAGGTGAGTGAATCCCATGAGCTCCTATGAACAAACAGGGGAAAGCACCACATGAAAGGCACTGCATATAATCGGGATTCAACAGGTTGCTGAGGCAGTATTTCAGTGACAATCAGCCACCATCACAGAAACTCTACCATTTCCAGAAGCAATCCAGTGATTGCTTAGGTGCTAGTTAGCACCTACTGTAACCCTTGTGCAGACAACCTTTGTATCTGATGCCACAGAGAGAAATCCACCACTCCCACCTGTCTCCTCATTTTTAAGATGCTCCTCCTTTCCTTCTCATCTACATTCCTGGTCCATTACTCTTCTCTCAACTAATCTTCTGTTTTTTTTCATGGTCTCTCATTCTCTTCTACCTAAGCCCCAATAATACTACTCATACTGTAAGCATTGCTGAAATGAATTTTTCTAGATCACTGAAGCTTATTCCTTTAGAAGCTAAAATGTATTTTTTAATTACTTTAGCCATTCTGGTTGGGAGTTTTGAAAATGCGATATTTGTTCTCTTTGCTTCTTAACAGAGTGTACACCACAGAACTTGAAGCTTTCGTGACTATGCAGGCTCATAATCTAAGCATCCCTCCAGGCACTTCCAGAAGGCATAGAAGGCTCTTGCCTGTGCACAAGCCCCAGATCACTGACTAGTACTACTTCACTTCCTAGCTCGTGTTTACACTTCTAGATCTCCTCTTAACTGTCAGGAAGAGCTGTACTCTTCATCCCTGTCACTGTTATTTCCCTTACCTTTCCCCTCTCACTCCCTAATCTGCTGTGGCATGGGTAGCCAGGCAGGGAAACTTGGAGGAACAATGTGTCAGATGAAATTTTACTGATATATGTCCACTGGTCTTTGAGGGATGGCTGGGGCCTCTTCTGTGGCAAAGTTCATTGCATTTGTGACAGCGATTTCAAGAGCTCAGAGACACTTTTTATTTAATTCTGGGCTTGGGACTGTAGATATGATAAGTGAAGATAAGTAGACAGGAGTTTGTCTTCCAGATAGAGGACATTTGTGTTCACGTGGAAACATTGTTTCCAGAACAAGCTGTCTTCATGGTTTTAGGCTACTCTATACTGGTACGATCTATCATCATTCCTCATGTAAACTCGGGATAAAAAAAGAGACAGAAAGGCAGAATGCTGACTTTTACAAGTGAAGATCACCCTCCGGGGCCGCTTCCGCAGCCACCTCTGTGGGCTTGCCCTTTCCTTTCCTGGCCTTTAACTGAGGACACCCAACTGCCCTTAAGTGAGTCGCCATCACCACAAGCTCACAAGGTCATTCATTCTCTCTCCTCAGACACCATTAACCACACCATCTTTTCCATTTTTTAAAGTGGAACCTTGCTGTCACCAATAGCTCTTCCTTCTGTTTCCCCTTTTTAACCGGGCAATTTCGAGATTCTGGTATGTGTGGTTTTTTCCACATCAAGATGAATTTTACCTGCCTCTCACTCAAGCCTGCTAAAATACTAACTCATGGCTCTTGCAGACTTCTATTTTCCAAACATCCCTCTCACCTCCCTGTACTCAAATCCATTCCAAATAAGAGGCTCCTACCTCTTTCATTACTCGGCTCTCAATCTCCACTTCCTGAGCACTGTCATTGTTTAACTCTCAAAATATTTCTTGCTTTCATGTGAATGCTATATTTTCACCTTTAGTTCTTTTTATAGTACTTCTTACCACCCACATCCTCCTGTTCAGTCTTTACATCAGCACCTTCCAGCATTGTATGCCTCATGTAGTTTTGCTGACGGAATTAAAGAAACATGTCAGGATTCTCTTCTCTCATCTCTACTCTCCCTCTCCTGGATCGCACCTTAATACCTTCAACTACCTCTTTAGAAATTTTTCTTTCTAAATGCCTCGGAAGTCACTTTTCCAATTTAATTTACTCAACCGTTTTCCCTTTAATATGTTTCCCAAAACCTCTAGAGAATAATTGCTAGATTTTCCCCACATAGCCCTGCCCCCACCTCCTTCCTCAGATTTTAATTGTCAACAACAGCAAGACTGCACTTCTAATGTTTATAGGGCCCTATGCACTGAGTTAAACAAATCCCATTCTCCAAACTGTGCGAATAACTCTTTGGCGCCCTCCCACCAGTTCATTCTTTCGTCTCTCCCACAGCTTCCCAGTTTGGCCAGTAGAATCTCCATTTCATGGCAAATAAACTCCCTTCTGCCTCTGACTCATTCAGAAAGACTTCCGTCTGGAAATCCGGGCCCTCCTTAAAGACACTGCTGGCCTCCTGCCTCCTGCAAACCTCCGGAAGGATAGGACCCATTCCTGCACAGGGCAGATCAGGAGCTGGGGAGGGGCCCATTTGCTCCTCAAGGCCGCTAACAGACCAACATTTTGCTAGCCTCAGGAAAAGCCCCTCCCATCAAGCCCATGACCTCCAACTGGACTTCCTTCCCCTGCTCCTCCTCTCTTGGTCCTGTGACCAACTCATTTACCACACCTGCTTCCCACATGCTTGACCTCCTCAGCTCCAACATTCTTTTTCACTCACTTCAGTCACTGCATTCTGGAATCCACCTTGGACCCGCTCATGCCCTAGGACTATTCCCTATACAACTTCCTACCCTCGCCTGCCAAGGCCCTCGCCCTGTCAGCCGGCTCCCTCACCTCAGACAGCATGCCAGTCCTTCAGTCTTCCCATTTCTCCCAGCTGACTAGCCCATCCTGGCTTCCCTTTCTTCCCTGCAGCTTGTATTCTGTGGTTAATCTCCAGAATTGTTCTTTTACTAGCCTCTCAGCTCCCTACCAACAAACATTTGGCTGGACTTCCTGGCACTACCCTACCGTCTGGGGAGCCTCCTACTTCCCCTGACCCCACTCTCCAGCTATCATGCGCTAGATCCTTGTTCAGCCCCCTGCAGTCTCAATGGACTCTTCTCCCAACTGCCAGCTCCGCTCATTCACTCTTGCTTTGGCCGGCTCCATTCCCTTGCAGGCTTCCATTCTGAATGAATAAAACGAAAACCTTCCCTTTCTATTATAATTTATTACTTTAAAAAATGCTTTTAGATATTTGTGTTACTTTATCCAGAGGGCAACCTCATATGGGGTGGAAGTGCAAGAATACTGTAGCCAAAAAAATAATAATATTTGAGGTTCATGGAGTAATGTGACTTATTTAAGCTCTCAGTCTCCCGAGAGTAGAATTGATTGACCATCATAATAATCAGAATAAATTTTCTTTCAAACCATCTGAGACCGAATTATTTAACATGCTAGTTGTGGGGATGACACATTAATCAAAAAGAGAGATAAAGCAATGAAAGCAGGGGTCACCTCAAGATCAGTTTTCTATATGCAGTCATCCCAGAATCAAATATTCAGGCTGCAACTGATGGCTCAGAGAGATAAATGAATCCAGTCAAAGAGATACAGAGAAACTCCATACTGGCCAAGCTGCTTTGGGCCCTCTGCATGGGCTCCCACAATCGAAACCCAGCAGATGAAGAGGAGCCATAGTAATGGAAGAACAACTGAGCACAGCAATGGGGAGTGAGGGTAGAGAAGAGAGCAATTTGGAACTTACTATGGAGCACTCTTATCATGCATAATTAGTGTACATTTGAAGAGAACACTGGTACATGCCAAGTTCACTTCTGAACAAAATAAAAACAAGATAAAAGAGACTGCTCCCCTCCCCATCCTGTGCCCATATAGGCATTTATGATGTAATGAAGACCATAAATACAATCAAGCACAAATCCTAATGGATCTACAGATAACAATATTAAACAAAGACCCAAATTCATTTCTTTAGATTTTTTTATGAAATATGTGTAAAAAAAAAAAAGAAAGATATCCTTCTACAAATCTTTCAGCTTCTTGGATAAAAACTGGTATGTTACATCTATATTTGTACATATTCCTAATAAAACTAAAATTGATATCTGTCCTAGGACTACCCCCCCACAACAAAATTCAAATATTTAGCAAAATAATCATTTACCTTATAGAAGATCAAGAAAAGATCATCCAGTTTCCCATGCAAATCACCTGGGATGCAAATGAAAAATCAATGTTTAGTGAGAAATGTTTAAACTGAAATACTGCTGATATATTCCAAGCATTTGGTTTTTACCCCTATGATGATATTAATACTACAGATAATTGGTTTCCATAGCTCTTTTTCATCTCCCTTGCTGACGGGGACAGCATCCAATGTTACTTTTACCTATTCACTCCTGACATTTGCAGTGCCTATTTACTCTGTGCATGAGTTAACTTATTTGATCCTTACAGCCACTCTATGAGACGGGTATTCATTTCAGTATTCCTACTTCACAAATGAGGCTCTGAGTAGTTAATTTATGCAAAGTTACTCAGCTACCAAGTATCAGAGTTGGAATTCAAACCCAACTTTCTCTCACTTCAAAACTCAAGCTCTTAGCCATTATTCTGTACTGCCTACTACTGAATCTTGAGGAAAGCAACAATAGTATCTATCTTAATTGACATTAAATCCCCAACTGCCTCCCACAGTACACAGTATATAGTAGGCACTCAATAAATACATTTAATTGCTAAATGCATAGCTTTTTAAAGTCAGATTTTAAGGAATATGCTCCAGCAGTAGCATCTGAAATTTTAAAATGGACCTTCCTTTGATGAGACAGTTATCAGAAACAGAAATGAGAGCATGGCTTTGTAAAGTGAACCATCTAAGGGAAACCATATGACTAAATGAACCCATTAAGTAAAAAAAAGTGTGAATATGTGAATATTCAAAAGCCATATTTTATGGATAACTACTTCTAGGTAAAATATCTGTTTTTCACAACCTCTCATCATACATTTTTATTCTTTGTATCAAACTTAATTACCAAATAGAATTTAATTTAGGAATACAGTTTGCTTAAAATCCCACAGCCAAAATTAACCAAATGTATGCAATAGAAGACTCCAATTATAATGGAAATAAGAAAATTAAAATCTTATATCATCAGCATTTATTTATGAAATGACTATAATATTAAGAACACATTAATGATATTGTACACTTAAATCTCATTGTTTTCATGTGGTCTCTAAATCTAAGAAAATAAAAATGTACAGACTTTGTCAGTTAAATATAATTTTTAATTATTTTTCTAATTTTCTTCTGAGTGACTCATCTTTCAAAGATTTGAGTAGACAGAATTGTTGCAGCTGGCATGCTAAAAAATGAATTGATTTCAGAAAATTAAGAGTTGAGGCTGTAAAAATATTTTTAACTCCTGGTTGGTCAGCAAAAGATAAAACTCAATGTATCATGGAAAGACAGTCACAGAAAGATATTTCTACCACATACAAAAACATGAGTGCAGAACTGTTTACCATTTATAACATAACTGTAGACTAAAATACCTCCTATGTTTCATACATGTTGAGAACTATGTAGATGTTCATGTAAAAAAATGCATCTGGAAATTAAAATAATGGTAAAATTTCATCACAATTTCCCTCCCTTTCCTAGTTTGGGTTTTGAAAATATGGCCCCAATTTTAAGTTTTGCTCTAAATGATGATGAAAACTTTCTAAGTTCAATGGGGCTATTAAAGAGAGAAAGTAGTAATTCCTATGCTAAGGGAACCTACCATCCTTGGCTTTTCCCTCTACCAATGGTGCTAAATGGGAAAAGTCTGGAAATAAATGCAAGATGTGGATGGAGATCTCTAAATGAATGGAACCGTACAACCAATCCATTCCCTAGTCTTTGTGTAATAATGGAAAATGAAACACCAGAAAAGTGCATGAAGGGAGTTGGGAGAGCAGATATGGGGCTGGCTCTAACCTGGGATGCAGATGACCTGACTTTCAATTCTGACCCTGCCACTAACTAATTTGGTGAGCTTGCAGGGTGGGAGGCAGGGTGAGTTACTGCACAGAAATGCATGAAAAGCAATATGCTTTTCTCTCTAGGTCCCAATTTCATTTGTAAGGGCAAGTGATAGACTAGATGATCTCTCTAAGAACACTTTAGTTCTTACAGTGTGTGATTCCAGGACTTCTGTGCCTGCTAATTAATCTGTTTTCTTCCAGATCCTTTCATCCAAAGATAAGTCTAAAATGGCAACTGGGGGTATACTGGAAACACGTGAAAGCAGATCCCACTCTCTATCTGGCTTATTATACACACTCCGAGAGCATATCTAGCCCTGGCTCCATAGGCTCCATGGGTTGGCATGGCTTCCTGAGCCTCATGACCCAAAATTCTTTATCTCCATGAAAAGAAGAGCTGATGAGGCCTTGAATTAAAGGCCCCCACCACTGAGATGCATCATCTGCTAGACTGAAATGTGGTGGCCTGATTAAGTTGGAATTGAACCATTAAAAACTCTTCAAAAACCTGAGTCAGGGCATGTCATGGAGTATGTTCTGCTATATCAAGTCCCTGTCACCACTATCAGATGCCAGAAATGGAAATAGTTTAATTAGATTGTCAAATCCACCTCTACCTGCCACAGTAAAAGAAACACAGGCTAAAAATTGATTTGGAAAATAACAATCACTGTTTTGTAACCTAAAGGCTTAATTAGAAGTTAAGGGAATTGCTGTTCCTTCCACGCACTCCATTCTCAGACAGTTGCAAGCATGCTGAGCACCAACTGTGTTGAATTTCAATGTGTACTGTTTCTTGAAGCAATATCCTGCCAGGCTGGCCTATATGATAACAAAATCTCAAATCTTGTTATTTAGAAGAACAAGGAACAGATTTCTGGGACATTTCTACTCTTCTAAAAGCTGCAGAGACCAGTTGGGAAAAATCTAAAACAGCAGCCAAGGGCAGAGAAGAGTTTCATCTCCACCCTGCCTGGGGCTTTTCTCTTCCCAGCATAAGTGGAACGCAGAGACCCACCTAGAAAAAGCAACATGGAACAAAGATAATGAGAACTAAATGGAGGGCAAAGAATGCTTATTCTACCCATGGGTGGTTTTCCATATTAAAATGCTGCCTGCTTTTATAAAAAGCTATGAGTTCTTTAATTTCTCACATAATTAATTCCTGCCAGCTGGTGTGCAAAACAAAAGATAAGATGGGGAACAGAATTATCAAGATAGATAACTCTATATTAACACTTTTGCCTTAATACAGTCCAATTTACACAGTTTTTAAGTTAGGCAAACGATGCAGAACCAAGAAGCTCCTAAATATTAATTTGGCAGCTCTGCTCTGAAACTTACCGCAGATTGTTATCTCTTTGGAGGGAGAAGTTTTTATGTGATTGAAATTTGGCATTCGCTTCAGGACTTTCTTGGTTTCAAATAGCACCTCTAAGACATAATAAGCATGAAGTATCTGTGAGGGTGAAGCAGAGGAAATAGATGGAATGAATTAGAAAGCAAGGCATGACTGCATAGAAAACTATAGAGATGGGGCAAGTGAGCACATTTCAGATAGCTGTCTTTCAGGATAATCTCTAAATTACTCTTAAATAGATTATTCTAGCACAATATCTGGCATATATAATAAGCCCCCAATAGAAATTTATAAATTGAATGAATGAATGGCTCCTAGGATATTTATACGCTCATGTTCTTAACTGACATCACCCATTCATGGGACATATCTGATTGTTCTTGGCCCTTGCAGCCGGAGAGAGGTGATAAGAAACAAAGGGGACACCCTTGCCCTAAGGAAATGTGCAGACGAAATAAACAGAGAAGGCGGGAAAGGAGAGAGAAATGAGAAAGCGAAAGACAAGTAGAGAGAGAAGACCGTTGAAGAGGGGGTGCTTTGGGACATCCTGCCACCTGGGAGGGAAAGTAGGTGGTGGTGCCAGGTTCAGAAATCTTGCAAGGCAGCCAGACAAGCCCCAGGGAACTCCTGAATCAAGCATCCCAGGTGTGGCTCAATATTCGCTGCACAGACAGGAGAGTTTACAGAACAACAAGCACATTAATATACATGTCTAAGTATAAAACCTAATCCAAACCCAAATAAACCATTTGGATTATCTCCAATTATGACCTTTCATCCAATTGCTCTCCTCCAGGAATAGTGTTGATCACATCATCGTTTTGGGCAGACTTACTCTGTTTTCTCCCCAAGTCTGAATTTGTTTTGAATCCAATTTGTCATTCTCTTCTCTCTTTTTAAATTATAAAATACCCCAAATGCATAATCCAAAAAGTAATATAGCTAATACTAATTTAACAGATGCTGACACCACTTTGTGGGTCGGGCCTATTTGTACCTGTACTGTTTATTCAAGACAGTAGCCGCTAGGCACACGGGCTACTGACCACTTTGAAATGGGACTAGTAAAAACTGAGATGTGCAAGGCAAAATACACACTGGATTTCAAATACTTAGTATGAAAAAAATCTAAAATATCTCATTAAAACCTTTTAATTACATATTAACATGGTAATAATTTTCTGTTGCATTAAATAATACATATTACTAAAGTTAGTTTCTCCTGTTTCTTTTTACTTTTTTAATGTGACTACTAGAAAGTTTTAAATTATGTATGTGGCTCACATTATATTTCTGTTGGACAGCCTTAAATTATTGAAGGCTGAGAGAGGGGTCATATCCACACAGTGTTCAGATACTGCTTTGGGTATGAGATTCAGAACAGATGGAGCCCTTTGAAACAATCATATCTTGTGATGTCCTGACATTTCCATTTTCATAGCTATTAAAATAAAAAAGTATTTTTTTATCCCAGACCCCAAAAACATATGATTTAAATTTGGGGAATTTCCACGATTAAACAAATTTTTTAATGACAGGAATCAGGATTTGAAGCAATGTGAAAATTAGGAGGGCACCTGGAGTGGAGAGACCCACATTTCCTGTCTATCCAACACCTAATGGATTGCTAAGGATTTTTCCCACAAAAGCATTCTAATTATATTCAATCCACAATTCAAGTCAAATCTTGAAAGCAAATTTTCCTTTAGCCACATTTTAAAGGAACAGGCAAAACACTTTTATATAATGTCTTATTTCAATTTACAATTTAATCTATTGATTCCCAACACTGCCTTCAGTGTTACCTTAACTTGCCTTTGCAGATTTTCTAGTCCATTTGTAGCACTAACCAGAGTAACTGCTGTCTGAAAAGGCAGCGTTGTTTTTTTTAAGTAAAATTAACAAATATTCACTGAGAATATATTGCAACAACAGAAATTTCCTATTATTAAAATAGTTTTCTTGGGTCCTTTTTCAATTGGCTGAAATCACTTTTCAGTAATATCAGTCCCTGCTTAAAATGCTATCTTTCAATGCATTATAATTGTGTTTACAGTTGCAATATTAAATACTCAAAAGAGTTAACTTAGATGTTGGTTTCTATGTTTATAAATATATTCAGATTAAATAGTAACTTAAAATATTCACATTCTATTAAAGGCATTGAGAGATAAAAACACTTTTTAAAGGATATTTCTTCTCTTAAAAGTAGTTTTTAAATGGAAAAAAAGCTTTTTTAAGTTAAAATAAAAATTTGTATTAAATTCTGAACATTTGTGTATGAAAACTTGAAGAAATAATTTGAGGGCTGTTTTCTTTCATAGAGGATTTAAATTTTCTTTCAGCAGGTGTCTAGCAGCACTAGCTATCTAGAATGACCTCAATTCAATTCCAGGAATTAAGATGATTCAAAGCTTTGCTTCAGTCCTTACCGACCCAACCTCCTACTTCTTATTCTTACTCCTAGAGTATGTCTTTAGGGTCCTAACCTGAGAATGAAGTTTTTGGGGTGATGTCAGAGAAAATAATGGAGTAGGTAACTCCAAGGTCCCATCCCTACACAGAAACACTGAAAACATAAGCCAAAAAAAAAAAACTGTCAGAATCAATTTTGGCAGAGCTCTGGAAAACAGTCAACATATATAGCAACCAGACAACATCTGAATCAAGAAAAAAAGCAACTTAAAAATGGCTCAGTCAAAGCAGAAAGTAAAGGCTAAAACAGATTTGTAAACTGCCTGGCTAAGCAGTGAAGGAGTGTATCAACACAGAGCCAATCTTAAAGATTAGGTTTTTCTTCTTTTTCTCCTCTTCTCTCTCTTTTCTTTAATTTCTTTCTTTCTTTTTTTATAGCTCCTGGTATTCAAGGAAATCTCTGTCAAAACACTAGCTGAGCCCAAGCTAAGAGAACAGACTTCAGAGACTTCACATGCTAGACCTAACAGACACCTATACAACATGCCACCCAACAAAAATTGACTATACAATTTTTACAAGTGCACATGCAACATTCTCCAGGACAGACCAGACGTTAGGCCACAAAACAGCCTCAGTAAATTTAAAAAGATCAGAATCATGACAAGTATCTTCTCTGACCACAGTGGAATGAAACTAGAAATCAGTAACAGAAGGAAAACTGAAAAATTCACAAATATGTGGAAAATTAATCAAGTTATTTTTAAATAATCAATGGGTCAATCACAATGGGAAATCACAAGGGAAACTGAAAAATACTTTGAGATGAACAAAAATGAAAACATGACATACAAGAATTTATGGTATGCTCAGAGAGAATTAAGAAAGAAGAAAGATCTCAAATGAAAAGCCTAACTTAACACTAAGGAAAAGAAAAGAAAAGCAAACCAACCAGAAGCTGGCAGAAGAAAGAAAACAGAGTACAGATAAATGAAATAGAGAATGGAAAAACAATAGAATCAATAAAACCACAAGGTAGTTTTTGAAAAGATCAACAAAATTGACATCTTTAGCTAGACTTATCAAGGAAAATACCAAGAGAAAATGAAAATAGCTATAATCAGAAATAAAAGTGGGGATGCTAACACCAACTGCAAAGAAATAAAAAGCATTATAAGAGAATATTATGAACAATTGTACATCAGCAAATTAGATAGTTTAGATGAAATGGAAAAATTCCTAGAAACATACAACTTACCAAATCTGACTCAAGAAGAAACAGAAAATCTGAACAGATCTAGAACAAATGGAGACTGAATCAGCAATCAAAAACCTCCTAATAAAGAAAAGACCAAGATCAGATAGCTTCACTGGTAAACTACTAAATGTTTAAGGAAGAATTAATGCCAGTCTTCCCAACTCTTTCAAAAAATATAAGAGGAAGAAATAATTCCTAACTCATTCTATGAGGCCAGTATAACATATTACCCTGATAAACAAAACCAGACAAAAACACCATGAGAAATGAAAATACAGACCATTATCTCTTATGAATAAAAAGCAAGAATCCTCAAAGTAATACCAGTAAACCAATCCAACAGAATTTAAAGAGAATCATATACCATGACCAAGCAGGATTTATTTCAGGAATACAAGGGTGGTTCAACATAAGAAAATTAATCAGTATAATAAACCATATTAATAGAGTGAAGGAAAAAAAAACACATGATAACCTCAATTGGTGAAGAAGAAGTACTTGAAGAAAATCCAACACCCATCACTTCTGAGTGATAAAGCCATTCAGAAAACTAGGAATAGAAGGAAACTTCTTCAACATGACAAAGGGTATTTATGAAATACCCACAACTACATCATATTCAATGATAAAAGACTGAAAGTTTTCCCCCTAAGATCAGGAACAAGACAAGCATGTCCTCTCACATCATTGCTATTCAATATTATATTGGAAGTTCTAGCCAGAGCAATTAGGCAAGAAAAAGAAATAAAAGGCATTTAAGTTAGAAAGGAAGAAGTAAAACTATGTCTATTTACAGATGACATGATCCTTTATATAGAATATCCCGAAGAAAACACATGCCCACAGAAAACTACTAGAGCTAATAAATGAATTCAGCAAAACCTCAGAGTTAAAGATCAACCCCCAAAAATCCCTTGTGTTTCCATACACCAGCAATGAGCAATCCAAAAAGGAATTAAGAAAGCAATTATTTTATAATAGCAAGCAAAAGAATAAAATCCTCAGAAATAAATCTAAGATAGTTAAAGACTTACAAACTGAAAACTATAAAACACTACTGAAAGAAAGTAAAGAAGACATCCTGTTTTCATGGATTGGAAAACTTACTATGTCAAGATGGTAATGCTACCCAATGGATTCAATGCAATCTCTATCAAAATCCCAGTGGGCTTTTTTGCATAAATGGAAAAGTCAGTCCTCAAATTAATTGCAATGGATGCCAAATCCCAAAACAATACTGAAAAAGGAGAGCAAAGTCAAACGATTCATACTTCCTGATTTCAAAACTTACTATAAAGCAAGCAATCAAGTAATTAAATCAAAGAAAGACAGTAATCAAGACAATGTGGTACTGATGAAAGGATAGACACATACACCAAAGGAATAGAACTGGTAGTCCAGAAATAAATCCACACATCCACAGCCTATTAATCTTTGACAAGGGTACCAAGACCACTCAATAGGGAAAGAACAGACTCTTCAACAAAAGGTACAACTGCATATCCAAAAGCAAAGAATGAATCTGGACCCATACCTCATACCATATACAGAAATTAACTGAAAATGACTCACAGACCTAAATGTAAAAGTAAAACTATAAAATTAATAAAGAAAATATAGGAGTAACTCTTCATGACCTTGGATTTTGCAATGGATTTTTAGGTATGGCACCAAAAATACAAACAACCAAAGAAAAAAATAGATAAATTGTATTTCTTCAAAATTAGAAACTTTTGTGAATTAAAGATTTATCAAGAAAGTGAGAAGATAACCTAAAGAATGGGAAAAAATGTTTGCAAATCATATATCTGAAAAGGGACTTGTATGCAGAATATATAAAGAACTCTTACAACTCAATAATAAAAAGCCAACCTGATTTTTAAATGGGCAAAGGATCTAAATAGACATTTCTCCAAAGGATGTGTATGAATGGTCAGTAAACATGAAAAGATGGTCAACATCTTTAGTCATTATAGGAATGCAAATCAAAACCATAATAAGATACCACTGCACACACAACTAGGATGGCTTTAATAAAAATAAAAATAAAATTTAAAAAACAATAGAAAATAGTAAGTATTGGCAGAAAATGTGGAGAAAGCAGAACCCTTGTGCATTGCTGATAGGAATGTAAAGTGGTGCAGCCACTGTGGAAAACAGTTTAGCAGTTCTTCAACAAGTTAAACATAGAACTGTCACATGACCCAGCGATTTCACTCCTAGGTATATACTCAAGAGAACTGAAAACATATGTTCATATAAAAACTTGTACATAATGTTCACAGAAGCATTGTTCATAATAGCTAAAAGGTAGAAATCCAAATGTCCATCCACCAATGAATGGATAAATAAAATGTGGTAGATCCATACAATGGAGTATCAGTCAGCCATAAAAACAAAGGATAGGGAAACATGCTATCACACGAATCAACCTGAAAAACATTGTGCTAAGTGAAAAAGCCAGACACAAAAGGCTACATATTATATGACTCCATTTGTATGAAATTTCCAGAATAGACAAATCCATAGAGACAGAAAGCAGATCAGTGGTTGCCAGGGGTGGGAGAGGAGGGAATGGTAATGGATATGACATTTCTTCTTAGGGGGAAGAAAATGTTCTGGAATTAGATACTGGTGATGGTTGCACAATCTTGTGAATGTACTAAAAACCACGGAATTGTACACTTTGAAGTGGTGAGTTTTATGATATGTGAGTTATATCAGAAAAAGAAAAAGGAAAAAGGAAAGGCTGTAAGCTGATAGGAGGTTTCTATGCATCTGAGGAGACTTCTATTTAGTAGGGTAAGCAAAGCAGAAGGTAGCTCTCACTTAATGTGAAGCTTTTCCCCTAATGCATTTCTGCTGCAGTATTTTCATTCATTCATTCAACAGGTAGTCATTGAACACATGCTATATACAAGAATCAGGGCAGTATCTACTTCCACTTGCCTGTTGTTGCTTGAAGGCTTCAATAAGTAAATAAAGATCAGTACAAGTAAGAGGGAAGTGCAGCCGAGTGCCATTATAGGAGTCTGGGACTTCGATCAACCCCACACAATCCTGTCTATTCTTGTAGTCCTGGATGGTGCTACCAACAAGTCGAGTGACTAATCCTGGAAAAGGAAAGACAGAAAGAGGGGGGAAAAAATCAACATTCCATACTTAAATGCAATAAATGCCTTTTAGAATACCTAGCCCATACCAGGCACTGTGCTACATGTTATGAATACCAAGATATCCCACATACAACCATATGGAATGATTTGTTCTGAGATCAGTAGGTATAGTCATATGAATCACCATCATCCCTTCCTGAGTGGACATTTTACCAAAGCAGTGAGTTCATCAGTGGGGAGGAGAAGGAGAAGCACAGGGAAAACTGGTCAGTTGAGGTATTTAGATGCTCTGAAGCTTCAATTCTACATCTTCTGCCCACTCTTACATCTCAGATTTTTAAAGAGAGGGCTGAAAACATAAGCAATGCATTGTATTTGATTCAAACATCTGCTGCTATTCAGGATCTACAGAAAATTAAACTGCAACATTCAATTTTTCCCAAAACTTCAAATTTCACTTAGCTATAGTTGATTTGTTTGTCTCTTCACATATAAAACAAATTTTCTGACATGATTTTCTCTTTCTTCTTGGTAATAAAGCAGATAAAGTTAGATGACAAACCACAGGCAGGAAGACCCAAGGGCCTCTCTCCCAGAGAGACATTTCTTTATAATGGATCACCTGCATTGTCCATGTAAGAAACCCACATCCTGGAACATATCCGGGTTCTAGCCCCTGCCAAACAGCTCAGGTTTCTATTTTCTCAAAACAACCCCACTTCCCCGAAATCAGCAGACTGCCCACCACCAATCACCTCTCCCTTCACGTTCTATATAACCAGCCAGCTCATTCCTGCTGCTGCTCCTCTCACTCTCTTGAGGCAGCTATTTTGTCTTACAGACAATAAACTTCCTTTTTCAGCGAGTCTGTGTCTGCTGCAGAGGGGGTCACAGTGAGACACCTTTCATTGGTGCCATGACTTGGATTGGGAGTTTCCCATTGACCTTGCTCTTCCTCATAGGAATTTGAGCTGCTTTGGGATCTCTCCCTCCCCGACCCTCCTACACCAGACTCGTCCCTCCATTTCCCCAGACAGTTGGCTTCTATGCCACACCGGCCTTCGTTCTGGTGAGTTCTCCCTACACACCAGCTTAAATGCTTAGGAGTATGCTTGAGAAGTGACCATTGATCGTCCGGCACTCTCACAGCAAAGTCCAGGCAGGGGAACCCCCAGCCATGACCTTCACAGTTACAGCTGACCCCCATAGCTGGTTCCCTCCCGCCCTGATCACGCTGTGACAATATCCCTCTCTGTGATTTAGTGTTTCTTACATTGTCTCCAAATCCTGGTACCAGGCACTAAATCACCTCAGCCTCCCGGCCTAGCAACTCAGTCAGCAGTGGTGACGACCCCCTGTCTACAGTCTGCTCTCTCACAACCCCTGACTGCCCAGAGACACCTTGGCATGTCACTGTGTGTCCTCATCCGTTGTCACAATGGGATCCGGACCCTCCATTCCCACAGACTCCCCTTTGGGCTGTCTCCTAGACAACTTCAAACCTCTCAACCTCATGCCAGACCTCAAACCTTTCAAGCTTATCCGATACTGTAATGAAGTCTGGCCTCAATACTTACTTGATAACCAAAATAGACGGCCCCAAAATGGCTCCCTAGATCCAAAACTCCTCCGTGACTTATATAACTTCTCTGAGCGTGTGGGCAAATAGAAAGAAATTCCCTATGTCCAAGCTTTCTCCTATCTTTGAACCAAGCCCTCCCTCTGCACCTCCTGTAATCCAAAAATATCCTAGCTGTTCTTCAACAGCCTCCACCTCCTTTGGCTGACTTCGATACAGTCAATGAGCCTCCTCCCTACTAATCTAATGCCCAAGTTCCCACAGCTCCTCTTTCTCCTACTACTCCTCCCTCCCCATCTCCTGATGCCAGTACTGTTCCCCTCCCTCTTAGTCCCGTCCCTAGCCCCCCTACTACCCAAAGCTGCTCAAAAGATCATCTCCTTGCTCCACTTTGAGAAGTAGCCAGAGCCGAGGGCGTAGTCAGAGTCCACGTTCCTTTCTCTCTCTCTCTGACCTCTCCCAAATTTAGAAGTGGCTAGGGTCTTATACCTCCAACCCCTCCACCTACATAAAAGAATTTCAATATATTACTCAATCTTATGATATGACCTTTCATGATGTTCACATGATCCTCTCCAACACACTCTTACCTGAGGAGCACAGGCAACTCTGGGAGCGGGCAAAACTCCATTCCAATGAGACACACCAAACCACCCCTGCCCACCCTATTGGAGCAGAGGCAGTCCCAGATCAAGATCCTAACTGGGACTACAATAATCCCCAACACCCCATTAGTCGAGACCAGTTTATCACTTGTCTCATGGTTGGGCTTAGAAAGTCAGCCAACAACGCTATTAACTATGAAAAACTCCAAGAGGTCATCCAAGACAAAAATGAGAACCCCTCCATGTTTGTAGACTGCCTCACCAAAGCTCTTCTTCAATATACTAACTTAGACCCCGAGACCCCAGAAGGGAGGCAACTTCTCATGACCTATTTCTTCTCCCAGAGCTTCCCCGATATCAAAGCGAAACTGAAATGCCTACACAGGGGACCTCTAACTCCACGAGCTGAAGTCTTAGCAGGGACCTTTAAAGTATACAATGGAAGAGATGAGAAAGCTCTTAAACAGAAATATCAGCAGAAGTACCAGTTAATGGCAAAAGCTTTCCAACCAACCCCAGCCACAGGCACCCATATTGCTCCACTCTTATCGGCGACAACCTCCAGGTCCTTGTTTTAAATGTGGCTGGCCAGGGCACTGGGCCAGGGCATCCCCTAATCCTTGGAAGACTCCAGAGCCCTGCCCTAAGTGTCAACAACATGGCCACTGGGCCGTTGACTATCCCAGAACCCAGAGAGGCACCAAACCATCCAGCCCTATGGCCCACAGACCAATCTTCTCGGTCTAGCTGCCGATGACTGACTAGGCCCGAGACTCTCGCCCCTGGCCACCAGCATCACATCACGGGAGCCCAGGGTGACCATTACAGTGGCTGGAAAACCTGTATCTCTTTCCTTCTAGATATGGGAGCCACTTATTCAGTTGTGTGCAACTATAGAAGTCCCTCCTTTTGCTAACACTCCTCCATAGTCGGAATTTGTGACAAGCCTTATCAACCCCTACAAACACCCAATCTCCACTGTGTCCTTTATAACACCTCCTTTGCACACTCCTTCCTTATTATACCCCACTGCCCAGTACCACTAGAGGGAAGAGACCTATTAAAAAAGTTAGGCATCTCCATCGTTTTTACTCCCTACAAATGCCTCAACCCGGCTCGCCTTCAATCCCCTTCCCACTCACTCTCCAACCCGCCACAAACCCCCCTCTCCTCCCATACCTCCCAGTCAAGTTAATCCTATAGTATGGGACACCACCACCTCCTCCATCACTATTTGCCCTTCCATAACCATCAACCTCAAAAATCCCACCTCCTACCCCTCTCGATCCCAGTACCCCTTACCCTTCTCAAGTCTACTGGGCCTACAGCCCATTATCCAAGATCTTTTGAGAAAAGGCTTGTTGAAACCCACCAATTCCTCTTACAATACTCCAATGTTAGTGGTAAAAAAAACCAATGGCTCTTATAGATTTGTCCAAGACCTCAGGCTCATCAATGCCGCTGTTATTCCCATCCACCCAGTAATTCCCAATCCTTATACCCTACTGTCCACCATTCCTGCCTCCTCCTCGCACTTCTTCATTCTAGACCTCAAAGATGTGTTCTTCACTATCCCTCTCCACCCTGATTCCCAAAATCTCTTCACCTTCGCATGGACAGACCCCACTACCCGAACTTCCACCCAACTAACCTGGACCATCCTTTCCCAAGGCTTCCGAGACAGCCCCCATCTTTTGGGGCAAACCCTTAAGCACAAGATCATAAGTCCCTCACCCTCCCAAACTCTATTCTCCTCCAATATGTTGATGATCTCCTCCTATGTAGTCCCTCCCTGCAAATCTCCCAAGACACCAATCATCTCCTAAATTTCTTAGCAACCCGTGGGTACTGAGTTTCACCTTCTAAAGTTCAGTTATCTACCCCTGAAGTTTCCTACTTAGGGGTCCTTCTCGCCCCTGGCTTTAAAGCTATCACTATGTGCAGAAAAAAACTCATCCAAGACTTACCCCCTCCCCAAACCAAAGAAGAAATCCTCTCCTTCTTAGGACTTGCTGGATTTCTTTGAAACTGGATCCCCAACTATTTCCTCCTAGCTGCCCCTCTTTATGCTGCTGCCTGCAGCTCCTCAGCAGAACCCCTCCTCGCACCCATAACCAAACCTTTTCAGACCCTCCAAGCTGCTCTTCTATGAGTCCCAGCCCTTCACCTCCCTGACCTCTCATGCCCCTTCCTCCTATTCATCTCAGAATATCAAGGGTTCGCCCTTGGAGTTCTGAGTCATAAATTAGGACCCTCCCTCGCCCCCGTCGCTTACCTCTCAAAGCAATTAGACTCCACTGTCGAAGGGTGGGCCCCGTGCTTACAAGCTTTAGCCACGGCTGCCATACTCATTCAAGAATCAAAGAAGCTCACCTTCGAAGCTCTTACCACTGTCCTCTCCTCACACCACTTTTCTGAACTCCTCACATACAAAGGTCTAAAAACTCTTCCCCCTTGCAGAGTTCTGTCACTCCAAGTTGCCTTGATCGAAGATCCCTCCATTAAATTCGAAGTCTGCTCTCCCTGCAATCCCTGTACCCTCTTCCCACCTCCTCCCAACCCACAAACCCCATAAACTCCCCCCTCTGACCACTGCCTGCAGATTCTAGATGAGTTACTTCCCTGCCCTTCCCACATCCAAGAGGGAGCTCCTCCCCAAGCAGACCACACCTGGTTCACCAATGGTAGTTCCTTCCTCCACGAAAATACCCATCGAGCTGGATATGCTATTGTCTCCCTCAGCCAAACCACTGAAGCAAAGCCCCTTCCTCCAAACACCACCAATCAACAAACAGAGCTAATAGCTCTCACTG